TACACAACCCACGATCTTGAACTAGGAGCAATAGTGTTTGCTCTAAAGATCTGGAGACATTACTTGTATGGAACGAAAAGCACTATCTTTACCGACCACAAGAGTTTACAACACATATTCAATCAGAAGGAGCTCAACATGAGACAACGAAGATGGGTCGAGCTACTCAGTGATTACGAATGTGATATTCGTTATCATCTGGTTAAAGCCAACGTACTAATAGACGCCCTAAGTCGGAAGGAATATTCTGGTCGCAGAGTCAAGTCATTGTCAATAACCATCCATTCACACTTGTCTAATCAAATTCAGGCGGCCCAACTTGAAGCCATGAAACCTGAAAATGTGACGAGTGAATCCCTTAGAGGAATGGACAAGAATTTAGAAGCCAAGGGTGACGGAGCCTTATATTTCATGGACCGGATCTGGACACCGAAACACGGTGGTTTCCGAGACTTGGTCATGACCGAGGCACACAACACTCGGTATTCCGTCCACCCAGGTTCAGATAAGATGTATCTGGATCTTAAAAAGCTATACTGGTGGCCTAATATGAAAGCAGAGATTGCTACCTTCGTAAGTAAATGCCTTACTTGCGCAAAGGTTAAGGTCGAGTACCAGAAGCCCTCCGGTTTACTGCAGCAACCAGAGATTCCAGAATGGAAGTGGGAGCGGATTACTATGGATTTCATAACCAAGTTGCCCAAGACAACGGGTGGACTTGATACCATATGGGTCATCATTGATAGATTGACCAAGTCTGCACACTTCCTGCCTATCAAAGAAACCGACAAGATGGAGAAACTTACGAGAACATACATTAGGGAAATCGTACGGCTACATGGTGTGCCTATATCCATTATCTCCGATAGAGATAATAGGTTCACCTCAAGATTCTAGCAATCACTGTAACATTCCCTAGGAACAAGGCTGGACATGAGCACAGCCTACCATCCACAGACCGACGGACAGAGTGAGAGGACGATCCAGACTTTAGAAGATATGTTGCGTGCTTGTGTAATTGACTTTGGAAAAGCGTAGGATACCCATTTACCCCTCGTTTGAATTTTCCAACAACAACAGTTATCACACGAGCATAAAGGCAGCACCGTTTGAAGCCCTCTAAGGCCGAAAGTACAGATCCCCTCTGTGCTAGGCTGAGGTGGGTGATACCCAATTAGCTAGGGGGCAAGCTTCTGGCATCACTCTCACTGGTCCGGAAATCATTCGCGAAACGACAGAGAAGATCGTTCAGATCCGTGAACGATTGAAGGCCTCTAGAGACCAACAAAAGAGCTACGCTGATAAACGTAGAAAACCTTTGGAATTTCAGGTAGGAGACCAAGTCCTTCTCAAAGTCTCACCCTGGAAGGGCATGATACGCTTCGGTAAGCGTGGGAAGCTTAATCCTAGGTACATAGGGCCTTTCGAAGTTCTCACAAGAGTCGTCCCTATAGCTTACAAACTCGATCTACCCGACACACTTCGTAACGTACATTCTACATTCCACGTATCTAACTTGAAAAAGTGTCTGTCCGACGAGACTCTCGTAATCCCACTCGACGAGATCGAGATCAACGAGAGCCTTAACTTCGTGGAAGAACCTGTAGAGATCATGGACCGTGAGGTCAAACAGATGAAACAAAGTTGTATCCCTATCGTGAAGGTTCGCTGGAACGCCAAGCGAGGACCAGAATTCACTTGGGAACGCGAGGATCAGATGAACCTGAAATACCCTCATCTTTTCGCTTAGTTATTTGTAACTTCTTATTTGCTAAAATTAGAGCGGGACGAAATTCCTTCTAACGGGGGGATGATGTGACAACCCAAAATTTCCACTTGTACAAACATTATCTATTCAATAGAAGCTAGTCCAGTTTCAGTGATTTTCAGACTTGTACGAACAAGTTTGTGTACATTAGGGTTTACGTTTCTGGATGTATCAGGAGAGTGGATGCTCCTGTATTTGTGAAACTTGAACATTTCAAGTTTCATAATGTTATAGTCCAACTTCAGGAATAAAAATATTTTCTGTCAAAATATTTTAGGACTATAAATAGATTTCTGAATTTAATTAATTCATTATTCACAATTCCAACTAGAGAAAAGTCATTTCTCTCTGACGGATCTTCGGGTTTTCATCCCGGATTGTGAGTCTACTTTCCTAAATGTGTTTTAATGCTTATTATATGCTTTACAACATTGTTTACATGTCTAAAATACAACATCCGAGAGCTTACGGCCCAAGAACGTTCTTTGGGTGTAAACTCCAAAACGAAGCCTAAAGGCTTCCTAGACCCGATTCCTTGTTACACAACTTGTTTAGGACATATTGTATGATCTATTAAGGCTAGAAATCATCCAAGATCATAATACTTTTGGAGTTTACGGCCCAAGAGTTTCTTGTACCGTAAACACCATTTCCAAGGGCCAAAGTGTGCCCCAATCACCCCTAAAGCTTAAGGACTTTACCCTCTAATGCTTGTAGTTAATTTGGACACCAAAACACTTCAAAATCATAGGGTTTTAGGAGTTTACGGCCAAGGAAGGATCATGGGTCGTAAACCCCTTTTTCAAGGGTTAAAGATGCCCTAAACACCCTTAAAGCCTCAAGACAATTACCCTTAAATACTTAGGACTTGAATGGGGAACAAATGACATCAAAATCACCCCTTAAAGGGAGTTTACGGCCAAGGAACACCTCTTGGGTCATAAACTCCAAGTAAAGGCACAAAGGTGTGCCTAATGTCCCCTTTAGCCTTAAGCAAAAACATGGAAGTTATCCTACATGTGCAAGGGCCTTAAATGAATTAAAACCAACACCCCATAGGAGTTTACGGCTGTAAACTCTAGGGGATATGGTCCTTTGGCCTTAAACTCCCCAAAGGAGCATTCCAAGGCCTTAAACTACTTCAAGGATTATTCCAACAAGGCTAGGCTTATTCTAGGATCAAGATAGCACTTCAAAACACCGAAAACCACCAAGTGAAGAGTTCACGACCGTAAACTCATGGGTTCACGGCCGTAAACTCCAAAGGGTAGGGTTTGTTGGGTGGTGAATTCATATACAAGGTCATTGGTGCACTAAACCCCTTTGGCCTTGTCCCGTATCAACTTAGATGCACCATTAGGACCTATAACACTTATATAAAGTGTTTACTTGCTCCTAAGTGTCTCAACTTACTTTGTTAAGTTATTATTTGGCTAATTAGTTATATATATGCTCATTATATGATAACTAGGCTCGAACGTGTGAACAAGTCTCCGTTTGCCACCTAGCACGGTACCCGATACATCAATCCAATCTACTCACCACAAGTGAGTTCATACCCCTTTAATCAACCTTTGAAATACTTTTAAATGTTTTAAATACTTTATGGGGGGATACAAGTTAAATACTTATAGTTATTGCATCAATCACATGTGATTACATTAATCACATGTGATTAATAACTAGAAAACCAATGATTTTATCACTGTTCAAACTGTTTATCAAACTGCTTTAATTCAAAATGTTTTACAAACTCTTTTACTTATCAAATGCTTTTATTTAAACTTCGTTTAACTACTTATAAATTGCATGCCCATATATGTATAGATATATAAGTAATGTTTAAAGGGCTTAGGAAGGCCATCTGCCCTATTTCCTTTTCGCGCACTGAGATGTGGTCTGGTGGGATTTCGGGTGACCATCTGAAGGTCGTTTCAATATTAGTTATATATCATATATACATGTATAGACATAAAAGTACTTCCATATTCATAATTATCAGTACATCAATAGCTAGTTACCATCGGGGTAACACAGTACATATACAATTATATTATAAACAGTACATTTACAACTATACTAGAAATAGTACATATACAATTATACTAGAAACAGTACATATACAACTATACTAGAAACAATACATATACAATTATACTGGAAACAGTACATATACAACTATACTAGAAACAGTACATATACAACTATACTAGAAACAGTACATATACAACTATACTAGAACGAGAAACATTACACATACATGAACACGTTAACAATTGTGATCCACTGTGTCGGAGCATGATTAAATGTCATGGCCCGAGTTGTAGCCAGAATTTTCTTGGAGGGAGAGCGTGAGTTTGCGTATAGATCTATACTGGATTGACTATCCTACACCTTGCTGCTAGCTATAGCCGGACCTGCAGGTCTGCGGGTGCCAAACGTCATTCCGTTATTACGACCATTCATTATGTCGTTGTTACCAGTCGATAGCATGGTGCAATTTATCACATTGTACCTTAATATAAATCCGGTTTAAGGTAGTTAGTACAACAGTAGTTCTTATAATACAAGACTACAGTACTACAATGATTTACCCATTACATATTTTAGTGATAACCTCAGTTGAACGTTAATGTACAAACTATATTTTATTAAAAGATAGTTACACTTGGGAAATTACACACATTTACATCAAACGAGCATACAAGACAGTTAAGCCTTGGTGGAATGCTACTTTAATAGAAAATATAGGTTTTTCTGAGAGATTCAAACTTTTACAAACAATTACAAACCTTTACATACATTTTACAAACTTATACTTGATACATGTTCAAACATTTTTGGATGACAAATACCGACACTAAAATACTTATGAACTCACCAGCTTAATGCTGATAAACTCTTTCAAAATAACTTGTATTCTCAGGTCATCAGTAGACAGGTACCGAGGCCAAATTTTGAGAAGATGGAGCGCATTCAAGACTCATCTTATTATTTTGATATACGTTTTTTTGGTGTCTATACTGTACAGAACACGCTTGTATTAAAATTATATATTTAATGCAATGGATGATGTTGTTTGCTTATTTACATTTACTGTGTTGTGATACTTTACATGACATCCTCCGCCCCAGAACGTTTTCACCGTTCTTGGTTTTGGGGTGTGACAAATTCCAAAAACGTTCCTTCAAAAGTTTTGTGGTATTTTCCTATCATCCCTAGATATAGAAGAATGCTTTCAATACCAGAAATTGCACATGACTTAACTTGGCATGCACAAGGTCAGGTCAATAATGGGAAGCTTACTCATCCTAGCGATATCCCTTCTTGGAAGCTTGTTGATAACACATGGAAAGAATTCAGACAAGAAAAAAGAAATCTTAGATTAGCTTTGTCTACTGATGATATCAATCCACACAAGTCTTTAAGTTCCAAGCATAGTTGTTGGCTAGTTATCCTAATAACATATAATCTACCCCCTTATTTCTGTATGTCAAGAAAAATCATGATGTTGACTTTGTTGATATCCGGGCCAAACCAACCTGGTAACAATATTGATGTCTACTTGGCACCATTGATAGAAGATCTAAAGCTCTTGTGGGAAACTGGTGTTGAGACTTTTGATTCTCATAAGAAAGAATACTTCAATTTAAGAGCAATACTACTTTGGACTATAAGTGATTTTCCCGCATATGGTAATCTTTCGGGGTGTGTTACCAAAGGTTATTATGCTTGTCCAATATGTTCAAAGAATACTTGTTCACAATGGTTGCCAAAGTCCAAAAAAGTATGCTTCCTTGGGCATAGAAGATTCCTACCACTTGAACATCCTTTTCGCAAAAGAAAAAAACATTTCAACAATCAACATCAGCACGATTTTATGCCACAACCATCATCAGGTGAAGATATTTATGACTATCTGGCGGGATTTGAGACTACATGGGGTAAGAAGATAAAGCCAAAGAAGGTAGGATCAAAGAAGATAAAGTTAAAGAAGATAAAGTCAAGGAAGGGAGCGTCAAAGAAGGAAACGCCAAAGAAGGAAAAGACAAAGAAGAAAAAAGAAAGTATCGACGAGAGTTCTAAATTTTGGCATAAAAAGTCGATTTTTTTTAGCTTGAATATTGGAAGAAGTTGCTTGTTTGCCATCAGTTAGATCTCATGCACATAGAAAAAAATGTGACCGGGAGTGTTTATGGGACAGCGTTGAATTTGCCTCACAAGACGAAGGATGGATTAAAAGCACGACAAGACTTGAAGCATTGGGCATCAAGACTGAATTACGACCTGAACCAAAAGGGGATCGACATTGGCTTCCGCCTGCCAAGTACACATTGAATTCCGCAGAGAAACATCTATTTTATGAAACCCTATCTAACATAAAAGTTCCTTATGGGTATTGCTCTAATTTCAAGAATCTCTTGTCGGATGATGTTTCAAAGATGAATGGTTTGAAGTCTAATGATTGTCATGTACTAATGCAACAACTTCTCCCTTTTGCAATCAAAGGGGTGTTAGATGTGAAGGTGCGGAGAATAATCCTAAGCCTGTGTCATTTTTTCAATGAGTTGTGTATTAAAGTTGTTGATGTTAGTAAGCTAGGCAAGTTGCAAAGTGACATCGTATTAACATTATGTTTGTTAGAGAAGTACTTTCCTCCTTCATTTTTCGATGTCATGACTCACTTGATGGTGCATTTAGTTAGAGAGGTGAGGTTGTGTGGCCCGGTTCATTTTAGGTGGATGTATCCATTTGAGAGATACATGAAAACACTTAAAGGGTATGTAAGAAATCATCATCGACCCGAGGGTTGCATTGCAGAGTGTTATGTGGCAGAGGAGGCCTTAGAATTTTGTTCAGACTACTTAAAAAACAAGAAATCACTTGGCAATCCTCATGAACGTGTTGATGAAAGAATCTGCAGTGGTAAGCCTTTATCAAAGGCTTCAATTGCTGTTGTAGATGCTCAGTTACTTGATCAAGCTCATCTTTATGTATTACGAAATACTGCTGTCGTGGAGCCGTATATAGAGTAAGAATTACATGAAACTGTATACTCTTATACCATTATCTATCATATAAAACATTCTTCTAACTTGTAATACATTTCAGGCAACATATGTTGGAATTGAAGGATATGAACCCTCGTCATGCTCACAAGAGTACATGGTTGCAGAGCCAACATAGTCGGACATCTATTAGTTGGTTTAAGAAAGAGGTTTGTTTTTAAAATAAGATTGTTAGAATTACAATATTTTTAATTATTTTTTTGAATTACATTAATTAGATATTTTTCTATTAGGTTGGAAAACGTTTGGCTAACGGGGAAGATATTTGTGATGATGTTCGTTGGTTGGCCAAAGGGCCTAATTTTGTTGTTACTAAATATAGCGGTTTTGCCATAAATGAGTATCATTTTCATACAACATCTCGAGATGAGTCTAGAACAACTCAATGCAGTGGAGTATCTTTAGTTGCACATACTATGCAGATTGCTAGTGCAAAAGACTCCAATCCTATGTATGGTGTTGTTACTTACTTCGACCGTATAAGGGAGATATGGGATCTTAATTATCGCATGTTTAGTATTCATGTATTCATGTGTGATTAGGTTGATAGTTGTGGAGTAAAAAAGGATGATTTAGGATTCACGGTAGTTAACTTTGATAGGCTTGGTCAGAAGTCTAAACCCTTCGTATTAGCTAGTCAAGTCAAACAGGTTTTTTATGTTCAAGATCAACAAGATGAGAATTTGCATGTTGTTGGACTCACACCTCATAGGATGTACAAGTATGGATCAAATGGTGAAACTGATGATATGTTGGAATTTGAAGTTACTTTTGATTTAACACAAGACTCCGCTTTATTAGACCTTGATGATGATTTTTTGTGTACGCGTCCGGATGGCGAGGGCATATTAGTTTAAATATTTTGTTTGCAGAATAATAAAGTTTTTGGTATGTTTTTATTTCAGATTTTGAATGTGATTAATTTTTTTCCAACTGCAACAAATAACAACGTACTTAATTTAATTTGAATCTTGTTGAAACAGGTTGTGTTTTTGTGACATGGAATCAGATTCAGCTTCTGATCATGATGAGGACTCCAAACAAAGAGGTCCGACAACAAAGAAAAAAGTTAATAAAGTGAAGCTTGTAATAACTTGCAATAAAAAAGGTGTCCCGGTTGGAAAGGAAGCCACAAAACTGTCGACTTGTGAGGGTTTGGTTGCAAGAACAATGGTTCCCATAACCTATGACTCGTGGATGGAAGTTAGTGAGGAAGTAAGGGAAGGGTTATGGCAATATGTTTTGGTAAGTCTCTATTTTCTTCCTGTTATTACCTTTGTTCAGATCTGTTTTGTCCCTGTTCAGATTTGTTTTCGAACCAACCTTTTTTTATGTTTCAGGAAAAGTTTGTAGTTGACCCAAAGAGCTGAAAGCAAACTCTCCAATCGATTGGGAAGAAGTGGAGAAACTTCAAACATTATCTATATGCCAAGTTCATTAAGAACCGAAGTAAAGATCCCAAGGCAAATCTATTCAAATCTCCGAAAGATTATCTTTTTATAAAGAAAAAAGATTGGAAAGTTTTTGTATCCCATAGAGTTACAAAGAAGTGGGAGGTTTGTTAAACTTTTCTTATATGCATTTGTAGTTACAATTTTAATGTTTATAGTTACAATTTTAATGTTTCTAATGCAGGAGAAAAGTATGAAAGCTAAAAATACCCGTGCACATCATAAATACAATCATCGTTTGAGCAGAAAAGGATATGCTGGACTCATTAATGACATTGTATGATTCCCACTGAATATTGATTATTTTATTTGTATATATTTATGTTAATTGATTTTGTTATTCTTGATAATTTAGATGCAAGAAACCGGCAAGATGGAAGAGGAGATTGATAGGACAGTGTTGTGGATAAAAGCAAGAGAGTTAAAGACATGAGGATACGATACATATGTGAAGATGATTGTTGATAAAATTGTAACTTTCATTAATTCCCAAATATATAAAAAAAGAAAATTTGTCCCATTTTATTTTTCTAACATTTGTCCCATTTTATTTTACAGGATGAGCTTTAGAAATCGGGAAGCTTTAGAGAGGTTACATGTGGAACACATGATGTGCTTACAGAGGCCTTGGGTACTCAGGAACAACGTGGGTGTGTACGAGGGATGGGTAAATTTATAACGCCACAACAATACTTTTATTTACCCAAGAATGTTAAGTATTACTTGGAGATTGAGAACGAGAGGGTGGATAAACGAATCAAAAAACTTGAAGATGACTTGGAGAAACTAAAAAGATTTGTACTTAATGTTTCTAAAGCTGCAAGTTGCCAAATAGGGGGCGTCATTGAAGATTTTGAAAAACAACCAGTACGAATCACTTGTAAGTCCTTGAAGACAATTATTAAAAATATATTTAAAGAATTTTCTTTTTCTGCAAACTAACATACTATATTTTGCAGGATAATTCATGTCTTCTTGCGGTTGAATTTGCTGCAAATGTAGTTGCTAAAGGAACCATAATGAAGTATAGTGCATCAGGTATTTTGAAATATATTTGCATTATTATTATTTATATATTTTCATTTTTTAGAAGATTGGATCTTAATTATTTTTTATGTTTATGTAACAGATGAAAACATTGAAGTTATGATTGAAACAATTTTGAAAGGAGAAGCTTTAATACCCTTTCCACTTGAAGAGGAGTTCATTGTGAAGGTCAAAGATGGACTGGGATACATACTGAGCTGGCCAAGACACTTAGTTATTCGATGCTCTAACCTGGTAATACTATTTGAACATATTTGCCCTTGGTTATCTTAATTTTTCTGATATTTCAGTGAGTTCTTTTTCAGCTTCAATTCAGTAAATGATGCCAGTTTCATTCTGTATTTTTGATTGCATTTGTAGGGAAAAGTGGTGGCGAAATCTGTGAAAAAGCATGCAACACCAGTGAAGAAAGCTGCAACACCAGTGAATGAAGATGTAACACCATTGAAGGAAGATGCAACACCTCCAAAAGAAGAAATAGGAAGTAATAAGAAAGAAAATGGGACAGGATAAATGGTTGATGGAGAAAAACAACCATGTGATATGGAAGAAGGGAATGATGTGGAAGAAGAGATTGGAATAGAAAGGAAGATTAAAAAGGAGAAACAAAATGTGACCGTGCAAAGAAGGTGGACCAGAGCACAGATGAAGACAAGGATAAGGATTGAGAAGAGTAGTATTTTGAAAATGACTGCAATGATGGCTGATCGACAAGCTACAAAGGTTGATTCTATAAGAGTGCAGAGTGAGAACGATCTTTTTGGGTACAATAGTTACACGTACTTAAATTGGGATGATTTTGAAGCAGTTCTTACAATGGATGAGCTAACCGGTGCCGTTATTGTGTCTTATATGATGTAAGTGCAAGAAATTTAATTTAAATAACAATGTGTCTTAAAACAAAATTTGTTTAATGAATTTAGTGTTTGTATGATAATAGGGTGTTGTTTAACAAATTGAAGTATGGCTCCCCAGAAAGTGACCATGGAATTTGCTTTATGAACCCGGCAGTAATCTCACCAAGTACGCGTAAAGTGAAATCTAAGAATATTGACGATGCAAGCAGAGGTTTAGTAGATCGGTTGTCTAAAAGAAAGGGCAATGACATCATCTTTATGCCCTACAATCCCGGGTATTGTTATTTGACATTTTATTTTGAAAATGACTACAATTATGTTATTTGACATTTTATTTTGTTTGTGGTTTTTGTAGAAGACATTGGGTATTAGGTGTACTAGACATGAAATCGAATACTTGCTATTATCTTGATTCCTTGAGCTCTGGCAATTTCAATATGCAGTTGAAGCAAATTGTTGATTCGTAAGTAATATAAATTATCAAAACACTTGATGTGAGTACAATAAACACATATTTGTTAATGTTTTTTTTATAGGGCAATGGTTCTGTACACTACACAAAGTGGATCCAACACAAGGGTTAAACTAAATTGAGTTAATGTTATGGTCAACACTTAATTCCTTATTGAAATTGTAGTTTTAACTTTATTTTTTGGATCAATTGAAATGATCATTTTATATGTAATTGTGTAGTGTCCAACTCAGTCCGGATCTACCGAATGTGGCTACCACATGCTAAGGTTCATGAAGGAGATAGTGGAAGAAGGAATTGAAGTGTTGGTCAAAGACAATGTAAGGATATAGCATTCTACTTTCATTACTATAATTTATGGCATCCTTACTGTTACAGAATATGTGCTTTCATTCATTTGAAAGTACAATGCTCTATTAAGAAAGACCAATTTACATTTTATGCTTAGTTGTTAAATATAGCAACTTACTGTTACAGAATATGTTAATATGCTATTTTTTATTAATAAAAACAATATGCAAATGTTTTCACAGATCGGGGATGGAAAAGCTGAGTACACAACTGCTGATATCGATGAGATACGTGAAGAATGGTCAACGTTTGTTACAGGATTCATTTATCGATGATATGTATGGTCTTTTGACAATGTATCCGCAAAACAATGTTATGGTTAACAGTGAAATGCTAGGTATGGTCTTTTGACATGTGTAATGCTAGGTAGTCTTTTGAGACACATGTACAATTTTTTGCTAACTTTTAGTAATGTTACTTAAGGTAACTTGACATGTAGTTACAACTCAGATACTTCAACATATAAGTAAAGTTGTTTGACGTTTAGATGAAAATGAATGTTTTGGTATATTTGTCATTTATTATGTGTATTCACATTGTAAATGTGTGTCGTAAATTCATGTCGTAAAGGCGCGTCGTAAAAACGAGAGACGTAAATTCATCTCTAGATGATGTTGTCTTTATGACATGGCCTTCCTTGACACGCATTGTGTATCATAAGCGCGCGTCGTCTCTCTTTATGACATGGCCTTCCTTGACGCGCATTGTGTATCATAAGCGCGTGTTGTAAATGTGCATCGTCTATAGACGACGCGCATTTGCGCGTCGTCTATCTTTATGAGATGGCCTTCCTTGACACGCATTTGCGCGTCGTCTGAGCCTTTTACGACGCGCAATGAGCGTCGTAAAAGGCCTTTTTTCTAGTAGTGTCTAGATGTTCAAGTCTCGTGAGGAATTGTTTGAGTGGACACCAAACAAAGCACGCTCTCTAGGATATGTCATTATCAACAAAAGATCAAAGGCATATGTCAACGACTTCGTGTATAAAGTCATATTTATGTGTGATCGTGGGGGTGAATATAAAGCTACTAACACGGTTAGAGCATCTGGAACCAGAAAGACTAATTGTAAGTTTGAACTGGAAGGAAAGTATTCAAAAGAACATAATAAATGGATGTTAAGGGTACTATGTGATGATCATAATCATCCGCCTGCACAACATATGGATGGTCATCCGTATGTAAGACAGTTATCTGTTGACGAGACTCATTTGGTGGAAGATCTAACAAGAAAGAACTTAGCGCCATGTGATATTTTTTCAACCTTAAAGACGCAAAACGAAAATAATGTATCGATAGTTCAAACAATATATAACGCACAACAAAAGATTCGTAGACGCGAGCAAGTAGGAAAAACTCCAATGCATGTTCTTATGTCCATTTTGCACACCAATAATTATTTGTATGAGCTTACTACAGGCGATTCAAATGAGTTGGAGAATCTATTTTTCGTCCATCCAACGTCTTGGAAGATATGGCGTGCATTTCCACATGTGCTGATGATAGATGCCGCTTACAAAATGAACAAATATAATAAGTCGCTTGTAGAAATTGTTGGTATGACCTCAACTCGGAAGACATTATCTGTAGGTTTTGCCTTTATACATAGAGAAAAGGAGGCCAACTATACTTGGGTGTTAAACTGTGCAAAGTCAATACTCAATAAGTGTATGCACCCACGTGTAATAATCACAGACAGAGAGTTGGCACTCATCAATGTATGTCAAACAGTGTTTCCGGATGCGGTACGGTTACTTTGTAGATGGCATATTGAGCAAAACATTTTAAAAATTTCCAGCAAGATTATCACATTGGATGATGACCATGACTCTTTTAGAATACTATGGAAATTACTAGTTGAGTCTCCAACATTGATGGCATACACGGAAAACTACAAACGACTACAATCAATGTTGATAAATTATCCACGTAAGTTTGTTTATTAACTATATTTCTAAATCATAACCTTCATATTATTGTTTATGTACTTATTTTGTTTATTTATTTTACTTCACAGGTGTTATGAAATACATAAATGATACGTGGTTAAACAAGTACAAGGAAATATTTGTGTCTTTTGGGTTGATCAACATCTCAATTTTGGAAACAACACGACCAATAGAGCGGAGAGTCAACATTCCAAGTTAAAGAAAATTTTAAACTCTTCAAACTCTAATCTTGATAAATTCGTACAACGGATTAATCAAGTCGTGCAATCACAACTTACGTCGATCTACGAAAGCTTTGAAAATAGCTTGACTGTTCGCTACAATCACCACAACTTATCATGTTTCCAATTGTTGCGGGGCCATGTTTCAAACGAAGCTTTAGACATAATATTAGGAGAGGTTCAAAGTTTGGTTGATTTAATGTTAGACTCCTCAAATTTTGGTTGCAAACTACATAACAGTTATGGGTGTTTTCGAGAGGTCCCGAAGAGTTTCAACCCCATCGAGCCATTATGTTGGTACTTGTAAACAGTATTCATTATATGTCAGTGTTTTTGAAAGGAAATTACCCAATGCCTCCTACCACAGCATATTGGAATGCCCATAGAAGTTTGTCTGCATCTACATGGCAAACTATGTATTGGCCGCGTTTTGATTTATACAATCAACTTTGATCTCGTACTTCTGAAACACATTGGATACATATTAAAGACTAAGTGCGAATGTATTTGAACCTTTTTATTAATTTTTGCATCAAATATTATTTTATATTTGAACTTTTTTATTATTTGTTGCGTTAAAATATTATTTTATTATTGTTGTGTCTTGTTTTAACTTTTTTTTTAAAATTGAATAAAAAATATTTACATATATTTTATAAAAAAAGTATTATAAATCATATATTTAATAAATGAAATAAATAATATTTTAGTAAAATAATATTACATCTAGGATAATATATTTTATAGTAAGCTCATACAAATGAGTTGTATATATTATTATTATTATTATTATTATTATTATTATTATTATTATTATATATATATATTGTAAGCTTAATAAAAATGAAAGTACTAGAATTGAAATAAAAATAATATCTTAAAAAACTATTAATAATAATTATGTAATCATAACTTAATTAGTAATGATGAGTAAAGAAAAGTAAAATGATTAGTAAAAATAATTAAAGGGTCATGTAAATGGTTTGGGATAGGCTTTGCATGTGATTTGTTTTGGTTATATGTCTCTAATTGCACTTTTATGTCGGTTTGTATTTTGTATTGTTCACGACCGTAAACACGTTTACGGTCATAAACGTGTTTACGGCAGCAAACTATGTTTATAGTCCTGGCAAGTATAAATAGTCTAGGAGTTGGTCTTTTGGAGGGTTCGGTGCCATAGAGTTTATGGCTAGTCATTGAGTTGTACCTGACGGTTCTAGTGTTTAATCGTGTGCAAGCTCAATTCATTCATCTTTTTGTTGTTATTCTCGTCTTGTGATTGTTTGATTACTAGTGAAAGATCCGGATTCGGACCTAACAATTGGTATCATAGCGTAAACTGGTATCATAAATCATTCGATCGAGATATTGAGTGTTCAAGCTGTTATTCTCACTGTTTGATCATTAAATTTTACGTTCTAGGCATTGAAGGAACTGATTTTATCTGAAAACTCGAGTTTTGAAGGTTATTTGAGAGTTTACTGCCAACCATAAACTCAGTTTACTGTCGTAAAAGGATATATTCAAAAACCGTAATCTCTTAATATTCAAGCACCGTAAACAGGATTAAAGAACAACAAACACATAAATCGTAAACTCCATAAACCGTGAACTTATACCGTAAATTCAGTTTACGGTCGAAATCATATCAATCGTAAACTCTCTTTACAACCGTAAACATTTTATTTTTCTAGATTAACCGTAAACCTTTTTGGAACTTCAAATCACTTCAATTTCAAATGGAATCTCAAAGTCAAACTCAATTTCAAGAACTTGATGCTGTTATGGGCACGACTACTCGTATTCCAAGGTTGATGTCTGCTGAAGGTTTTCCCGAGTGGAAGTATAGGATAGAAAAATACATTAAGATGAAAGATTTCAAGATCTGGAGAAGCATTCTTAGAGATCCTGTCAGAATCACTATGAATATTGGAGGTCAATTGGTTGACAAATCTATTGACAATTATACTGATGAGGATTTTGAGTTCATTGAAGAACAGGAAAGAGCCTTAGCCACCTTAACGTATTATCCCCTGATATTGCTCAAGGTTTTATGGGAAGCACTTATTGAGGTCTATGAGGGCAATGAAGATATGAAAGAGAGTCGGCAGGACATGCTGAGACAGAAATTCAACATGTTCAACTACATTCCAGGAGAGACACTTGAAGCTCAATTGCAAAGATTCACTGCACTCACAACTGACATGAATATTTCAGGGATTTTCTTGACCAAGTCAGAAATCAACAAGAAACTTCTGAATGCTCTACCTAGGTCATGGGATATGAATGTTGTTGTGATTAAGAAAACCAAGGATTTGAGTCGTCTCTCTCTTGCAAAATTCATGGCGGTTATCAAGGCATGTGACATTGATGACAAACAGAGAGAAATCAACCATGTGAATTATTATTCTACTGCAAATCTTAGAGTTTCATCCAATAATGCTCTATCATCTTACATGAGTCCCTCAGGTCAATCTTTTGCAGTTCAACAACCTCATATTCAAACTTTCAATTATGTACCATCCATCCCTCACCATCAAACTCAAAATGTGTCATTCACCATCCCTCAACCCATTTCTGCTCCCAATGTGTCAGTTAAAGCCTCTACTTCGAACTCCAAAGAATCTGATGAAAATCTGGCTCTAGCTGTTGGGCTAGTCAGCTGTTATAATGCCTTTGTAGCTGGAGATCTTCCACCTCAGCTATCATTTGCTGATTTGGACCAAATACATCCTGAAGATGTAGAGGAAATGGACATTACATGGCAAATTGCCATGGCTATTTTCAGAGCCAAACAATTCGCCAAGAAAACCGAGAAAAACAATTGGGCCATGAATGTTGACAAGAAGGTGGGATTCAATAAAATAATGCTAAGATGTTTCAACTGCCACGAGTAAGGTCATTTTGCTCATGATTTCCCGAAACCAGATCGCAGAATCAACAAGAACAGGCAGATGGTTGCAGTAGGAAACAACCGTGCAGGAGCTACATCTAGTGGAGAAACAGCTATGGTTGCACAATCATTTGACTGGGAGGACCAAATTCAAGCCTTGAATATCTCAGGGCCAGAAAATGCTCATCTAGCTCAAATTGGTGATACTTCTTC